GCTGCTGCCACCCACGGAGCCCAGTCTGCTTCCAGCAGGGCTTGTAGCCACCCAGCTGCCTGCTGGAAGCAGCCTGGGCTTTGTGGCTGGAAGCAGCTGAGCCTGCCTGACTCCCACCCACTCCAAGCCCAACATATGGTTTTGTATGTTTGTCTGCCTCTGTGTGTCTGTGCGCGCACACATGTGTCTGGTTGCAGATGTGTGTGTGCACGTGTCTGCTCTGGGTGTGTGTTCTGGTTCTCCACGTGCATACGCGTGTCTGGTTCTCTCTCCTCTTATTTATCTCTTTTTTTCCCTCTCTCTTTCATTGCAACATGCTCAACAAAAAAGGGATACAGAACAACAAAGGCAACATTTATGATTATTAAATATACTAATATGCAGTGCATCCTGCCATGCCCCCCCTCTCCCCAATTTTGTTTTTCTGGCATGCTGGCACTCCGGCACCTTCCAAGGTAGACATTGTGGTTTTTTCAGCACTCCAGCCAAAAAACGTTGCCTATCCCTGACCTAGCCTTTCTCCTAATGCTGCAGAAAAGCCAGCTAATAAGGGTGGAAGCATGACCAAACTTGAGTTAGGTTTTGGGTGCTGATGGGAGTGTGGCTAGCAGCCACACCCAAGTAACAACCTAAGTGTTGTTAACCAGTGTTGCAGTAGAAGACATACATACCGGCTGTCAGCAGTATGGTCAGCTTCAAAGCAAACCTCTTGCTGGCTTAGATGCTAAGCTTACCTGGGCCTGCCGAATAAGGCCTACTGGTCAAAGTATCTTCCAGTAAATATGTAATACAATACCCCCCCTACTAGGAGTCATTACCCTTGAAATATAAAACCTTCCTTTGCGGAAGAGAGGCAGTACATAAATTATCTATGTGGCAATAACTGCATTAGCCGATTTTCATTACACTGAGGTCTGGTGGGGAAAAAAATAGTCAAGCCTTTTTGCAACTAAAGCAGATCTGTTCAAGTTGTCTTAAGATGACATTTGCTGCAGATGAAAAGCTAAAAAGTGTTTGAATAGGATTAAATAGCACAAACTTCCACTGGTACCTGTGAAAGCTGGCACCCTGCTTGCCCGGCTGATCATAGAGATAACAGAATGCGACTGACTGAAGGGCTTTCCAAATATCATGCAGGTCTGACAGAATTCTTTTTATGCAAACACTCTGCATACAAATATAGGTTGTAAGATGTATGGTTTTACTTTAAGTGTGGAGGCGTCATGGAATGGTTTCAAATTTATGGCACTGGCAAACAAAGTCTTCTGTTTACGTGCTGGCAATCTAAAGGCAATCTTCATACATGTGGTTGTACCAGCCTGCCTCAGTCACAATTTGTGTGGAAGAACCATCTTATGGGAGTAACAGAAGGAGTTCATTCTCCATCCAGTTTTTAGCCTCTCCATGGACTACAATTAGCAAATTGCATCACAGTAACCCTGCTGCAGAAGTTGGGGCAGAAACCCATTAAACTGGCAGTCCCTACAGGAGATGAATCCTCTGTTAGATGGCAAAATAAAGCTTAACCTCTACTGAGCTGAAGCTGAGCTAGATTCAAACTGGTAACCTATCAATGAAAGGCTACATGGCCCCTTAAAAATGCTGCAAGTATCCCAACTCTAATATATACTAAAAAGATGGGCGCACGTGCCGGGGGGGGGGGGGGGGGGGGGGGAAGTTTTTAAAGACAATATCTTTACATACAAAAACATTCAGCAACTTAAGTGTCTCTGCCAAGCCAAACATACAAAAAGAACAGGAAATGATACCTGAATGAATGATGCACATAATACCCTAAATTTGGCCTTCGCATACATATGCATAACAGTATGGAATATATCAAATAAAGACACTTTCCCCCAAATAGTTTCCCAGTCAGATTTGCATCTAAGATTTTCTGTCCCACAGCATGTAAGATAGATAAGTAACTGGTAGGAAAGAGAGGTTCTTTTCTTGGACCAGTCCAAAAGATACCAAATTTGTTTGCAAATGGGTTTGTTAAATACCACTTACAATCTCAGCTCTGTAAGATGTTATACATACCTTCAAAGTTATGGATCACATAAGTCACTGGTTTACCTCCATCTTTTGGTGTGTACGTCATTTCTACTTTTCCAGGACCAGGAACCACAAAATCTGTTGCTCTGTACTGTAACAAGGGAGATGGGCAAAAAAATTTAAATTAAAAAAAAAAAAAAAAAAAAAAAAAAAAATCAACTTAGTGATTTTACCCAACAGACAGCTGAACAACAAAATAAATTCAATACTCAGATTCTCATGAGATGTTTCTTAATTGATATAAGCATTGCCCATACCAGAAACATGCATCCTAGAGAATAAAAAGACTGTAAAACTTAGTTACAAAAAGAAAAACAAACCCACTCCTCTATCCTCTTTCAAGCTGCCTTGGACAAATGTTGCCATGTTCCTACCTCACATTCTTCTATTAAAACTTTCACTCCCTCACCTAGTTTCCTTGCCGACACTAGCAACTTTTTTGCTCCTTAAACTCTTTTGCAACTTCTCTAGCTCTATGCCTGTTGTCTCCTTTCCCTATTCCCATGATACTTCTTTTACTTTATTCACTCACTTTGGCAGGTTTCCAGTCTTCTGCCTTAGCATCAGACTGTGCACCTCTATTACACTTTCCACTGCCTCAGTTATACAATGCCTTTGGCTTACTTCTTAAAGCTATAAAACAAAATATTATTTTTCCCAAGGCTAAGGCTCAAAGATTTATTTCTGCTGATAGGGACATAGCTAAAATGGTATGGGGAGATCAGAAGGTTAAGTATGCAAGAAATGCCCTATAAGTACTAGTGCTTAGCATCTATTCAACAAACATGTAGCTCTGTTAAACACTTTGCCTCCAGGGATCTTAGAGAACTTTGAAAAGTACAACAGTTCCCATTTCACAGATAGGAATGGTAATGCATGAGATGATGGCACTTTGCATCGCACAGATGTGTGGCTGTGCTGGGAAAAAAGCCCAGGACTTGTGAAATAGTCAGGCTTTGCTGCCTCCCAGTGGCCACATTCATTGGACTGTTGAAGAAATCCCCATAAACACTAAAGTGTCAGTGCCCATTGATCTCTAACAAAAAACTTAATATGAAAGTAAAAATGTGGCAGGTTGATTAAAAACAAACAAAAACACACCCAAAAAACCCAAGTTTCCCTCCTGCTTTTCATCATACATGAAAGACCTATTTATATAATAGAAGCAAATGAGGCTAGTAAGTTGACTACTCTCTCTCTCCCTCCAGAGTCTGACTTATCTCTAGATATTGCCTAAATTTTGATTGTGTGTTTGCAGGGCAGGGGGATGTGGGAAGAGTGGTTCTGCTGCCTGTGTGTGTGTGTGTGTGTGCGCGCGCGCGCGCGCGCGCTGCAGGTAAATGGAATTATACAAACTGAACATCAGAGGACTCTCACAGATTCATCTTACATCAACTCTTACAGTGTTAAGACATAACTGAAAACTGGGGAATGCTTTTCTTTACTATCTGATCTGAGGTCTCCAAGTTAACATTTTCCTAGTCTCCCCAAGCAAACCAAGCCTGATTAACTGTATCCACAGAGTATAATCCTTTTTTCCCCTCTCCTTTTTTAAGAGGCATGTAGTCAGAAATGAAAACGAAAAGTTGTCAAAATGTCTGGTGGAAATAGACATAGCAGAGATTTTGAAACTAAAGTTAGATAATCTGCAACCTGTTCAGAAAACTGCACACCACCACTGAGATGGGAAGAAAGGAAAAGATTTGGGGATACAGTGCATTTTTTGTAGTCACAACTGCATTGGGGTGAGATGAAGTATCTCAGCAGTAGTTGGGAAAGGTATTCTTGCCTCTAGGGTGCTGAAGTAGTCAGAATGATTCTAGGAGTTGGAGCATATGCTACTCTTCAGCACCCAGCCTCTAGCATGGACCTCTGTATATTATAAAAAAAAAATAAAAGTGTAGTAATACTCAGGGGTCTTCGTCATGGACCAAGGTAGTATGCTAGGTATTGTTAAGAATACTAATTAATGTATGTGGAGAAAGGTGGAATGTTCACTGTGATCCGTAAATCACACATAATAAACATAGGATTATGAGATGTCAGACATGTTGGGTGTATAGAATTTGTGCCAGTCCTATTCCCTTGGAATCTTCAGTTGTACATGGTAAAATTTTAAACTAGAAGGACCCTAAAGTAACTCACTTGATCCCCATATGCATGACGGCCAATGACAATGGGTTTCACCCATCCAGTCACCAGTCGGGGGATGTTCTTGCAGATAATAGCTTCCCTGAAGACTGTGCCACCCAGAATGTTACGGATGGTCCCATTGGGAGATTTCCACATTTGTTTCAGCTTGAACTCCTCCACTCTCTTCTCATCGGGGGTTATGGTCGCACACTTGATGCCAACGTTGTACTTCTTTATGGCTTCTGCCGCTTGCACTGTCACTTTGTCATCTGTTGCATCACGATTTTCTATGCCTAAGTCATAGCTACAAGCAAACCCAAAAAAAGAATAAAGCTCGCTTTATAGACTGACCTGATATTTATGGATTTCTAAATTAAATAAGTTTCCCCCCCAACAGATCCCAGAACTCAGTCATAAAACTGATCTGAAAACAGTTCTTCCCTGCATGGCAGCAGGATTTAAACTTGGAGTGAGTACATAGTCTTGACACCACTGTCTTCTTTAAGGATTGTGGCTGTGAGGTCAGGGTAGCTTTAGTTTACGGTAAAGGCTGCCCAGGAGTCCCCATGGCACCAGGGACATATAGATGTGCTGTATCTCCACTTGCCTTGGCCACACACCTCATTCTCAACAAGCTCCACCCACTTTCTTGGCTCCATTCTCCTCCTGTAACCCATGGCAGCACAAATGAAGTTATGGCTAACTTTGTACTGCTTGAACCTTTTCCAAAGGACTTGCTGCAATGGGGCACTTTGCCAGAGATTATAATGGTGTGAACCAGCTTGATACTTGAGTGGATTTGACTCCCCTGCTGTCAGCTTTTTAAGCCTGGGACTAAGACTTCCCTGACGTGACAACAGGGAGCACAGCAGAATTTCAGAACATTAACAGCAAGTGCTAACAGGCTCTCCACCATGTTGTGTCTCAGGAAAACCCACAAACGTTTCTTTGAACAGTGAAGGGTTTCATATTTACTAGACTTGCTACTATTTTATAGCTCTAGAAAAAGGGTGTGTTGCATATTTTGTCCTTGAAGTATAAATAGTTGTGCGTCTCCAAACACAGCATGAACACAGCCATTGTGTTTGGTACCTAACTCGCCCCTTCCTTTTTTAAGAATGAATGCTCTTCTACACACTATGTGCATGTGCAATAAGCTCCAGTGTTTGTCTGCTCAGTCTTGGCACCAGCAAGCTGAAAGTCCTGTCGAGTAGCTGGTTCAGTCTTCAGAACAAAAGTAAACAGCTCTAGAAGTAGGGAAAAGGTCAGGATCATGGGCTGACTAATTAATATAGCACTGAAAACCTTTTATACAGCTAGAAAAACCCTGCATGAATATTGTAGAGTTACTGGGATGGCAGCAATGTCATTTCACACTGCAACATTACAACTCAAAAGTCTTACAATGAGCTATACTACTTGCAAACTAGGAGGAACAGGAAATTTTTGTTATGTTACGGTAAAATAAATATTACAGTCAAGACATTCCTTTTTTATTCTTGTCCTCCTCCACCTATACCTGCAAGATTTTTCTATAAAAGACTTGCTGCTACTGTTTATTGTTCTGGGGTGTGGCAGTGAAGGACAGATACAATTTAGAAAACTGGCAGAAGTGTGATCTTTTAGTTGCAGGCTACTCAGAACAGGGCCCAGTCCCACAAACACCGAGGCAGTTTTTATTCCCATACACCAGCCTCTCTATGCTATTTCCATTGCCTCAGAGGGTAAACAGACCCCTGGAGAGTTCCCCCAAGCACAGCAATGGCATGAAGCCAACTAGGTTAGCCCAATGATGGCCTTTTGAGAAGCCCCCTGTGTTAGGATATGTTGGAGAGAAAACCAGATGCTTTGTGTTCCTGTTATTTTAGGCTTGAAAAGTGTCACGTGGGTAGCTATGCAAGCTGCTCTAGTGATGAAAGCATTATTAGTCCTGGATTTAGAGGGACACAGAGGTGGCTACCTGCACATCCTCTCTGGCCAGGCTGCTACTTCTGTCCCTGTGCCTTCTAAGAGGTATAATGCAGAGATAAGTTTGCATATGCTTGGGCATAGATTGTTAACTGCTGTAAGTAGCCTCAGAAAATGAATGAAAGTATTCACAGGAGCACGATCACAGAGGAGATATTCAAGCTTTCCACCAGAAAATAGTCAACCTGAGTCATTTTTCAAGCTGGGCAGAAGTAAGATCCTAGGAGGGGAGAGCTTCATATGTCATCCCCTACCGCAGTAATTTAAAGGTTAAAAAAAAAAAAAAAAAAAAAAAAGTTCCCAACCCATTCTCAGATAAGCTATAAAGATACACCCCTCCCACCCAATGTCCACTGCATTGTAACGTGACCGATTCTTATAACACTTACTCGAATATTTACTCGAATCTAAGATGATAGATTTGAAGCAGGGGAGAAGAGCCCCTCATCTTAGATTAATGTACAAAGCAGGGCGGGGAAGAGAGGCAGGCAGCTGCTGCGGCTCCGATTCTGGCCCCGAGCCTGGGTCAGGGTCAGAGTCAGAGCCACAGCAGCCTCCTGACCCACCCTCCACTGGCCCTCTGACACCCCCTCCCACCCCCCCCATTACCGTCAGGCACAACTCGACTTTGGCTTGGGCTGGGTTCCCTCAAAGGCACAGAGCACAGGAAAACTGCCCCCTGCCTGGCCCATCAGCAACAACGACACTCCTGCATAACCCAGCAAGGGCCGAGCTTCCACATGCTGTGCTCTGGGAGGGAACAGAGCCTGAGCAACATCTGACAGTACGGGGTGGAGGGAAAGGAGACTGCAAGGGGCTGGAAGGGACAGAGATTGTGGGTAGTGCACAGGTAAAAGGCAGAGGCTTTGGGGGGGGTTCGGGGTGGGGCATGCCAGTGGCAGGGAGGGGGAGGGCAGGAAAGCTGCAGGGGGAAGAAGGGGAGGGGTAGAGGGCAACAGGCCCACCTGACTTCCTCCCCAGCCATCCAGCTGCCCCAGCCAGTGTTTTTACTGCTGTAGCAATGGGGTGGGGATAAATTCAAAGACAACCAATTAGATTCTATACCTGGAACATTATAACAAATTTATAAATTTTCCATACGTAGAATCTAATTACTAGGGGAGGGGGGTCATCTTAAATTCAAGGTTGACTTAGATCTGAGTAAGTGTGGTATATGAGGGTGGTTACCTGTGTACATCCAGATCCACATATGGAAAAATCAGCTTGTCTTTGATCAATTCCCAAATCACCCTGGTCATTTCATCTCCTTGCATCTCCACAACAGACCCTCCATGGATTTTTTTGGACATCTTGAACTAAATAAGATTAAAAAGAAAAGAACATATGGCATGCATATTCAGCCAGGCACACTTCTATGACAAACTGAAGAAACAGAGGTTCCAATAGGGCAAATGCAGACCCTCACAAAGGAAGGAATAAAAAAAAGAGAAGAGCACCAGCCCTTGCAAAACCCCATTTTACTGGCAGAATCCGATTTCCCACATGACTCTGGTGGCATCTCACAGACTTTAATGGAGCTGTTTTGGTTTACACCATTGTATCCATGTGGAAGATTAGACCAAAAAGGTTTGATGCTTATTTCTACCAAGGTCCCATTACACTGGGGCATCAGTAATTTCCCCCCTTTTCAAGGTCTGTGGAGCAATGTAAAAAACCTTCAGTATGAAAGAGATTCATTCGCACAGGCTCTTAACCGTATGAGGCCTCTAACTTATGATGCAGCTGGAGCAAGCAAAAACATGAAGTGATATCCTCGTACAAGTGTTATAATTCTACCAGGAGAATTTCCTTTTTTCCCCCAACAGAAGTGATAAGTGTGCAAGTATTCACTTAATTTTTCCCCCAAGGGAAACATCTTCCAGGTGTCAGACTGAAAGATCTCCTTTGTAAGCATTTCTCTTACAAGAATGAACACTTGTACACTCCACTCCTGATCTGGTCTGGAAGGGGAAGGAAGCAGCAAGAATCACCTTGGGCTGAGGGCTTTACACCCACCTGGACCAGTCTGGCAGGGGAGAGGAGCAGTGGGACAATGCTCCCTACCTCTTCCCCAGACCAGGGAGTGCTTGATTCAGGGAACAGGCTGGGGGCTTTGCCCCCCGTTTCCTCCACTCCAGGGGAGATGAGGGTACTGGCTTTGAAGTGCCTTGCAGGGGAAAAGCTCGCTTCATGTGGTACATGCAGAGCTCTGCACTTGTAGCTTTGAAATATAAAAGAAAAAGCTGGTGCCCACAGCACCATCAGGGCCCCCAGTTTGGGGACCTGGCAGGAGAATTTGCTCTGTTATTCCATCCCACAGGATCAGGAGTGGAGCAGCCAGCTACCTAAGCCTTCTGGGGAAGGCGCAGAGAGCAAGGGAGAGAGGACAGCTTCAGGTTGGATGCCTGTACTGTTTCCTCTCCCAGAACAACTTCTAGCAGGAGAAATGTCTCAAAAGTTTCCCCCACTAGAAATGAACCCGTTTGAGGCCTGTGTTCACCTTACTGGCAAAAAACATTTAAATTCCTGGGCTCTGTTTCTAGCTCTGGAATAAGATGGGAAGAGCGTGTGGCTGACTGGTGGAAGGAGAAGGGGAAAGTAGTGCCAGCACTTACAATTTGATTGTGGATCTCATCATATTTGGTGTTCCACTTAAAGCCTCATCAGCTCCCAAATGCATCTGATTAGGCAAGAATCAGAATGTTCATGGGGTAGGGAGGGGGTGAGAAGGAAAGGCCCAAAAAGCAACACCACCACAACATAGGACTATAATGCTTCCCAAAGACTCAAAGGTTAAAAGACATACGTGAAGATATGTATTTAACCGGGGGTGGGGAAATGTCATGATGGGGAACAGGAAGAAGGAGAAGGCATACCATGATTTTTTTATTTGTTTATTTTTTAATACTTGGGTTTAGCATAATATATTATTTCAATAGAGATCACGTCAGCATGCCTCTAAACACAACGTCACTATGCTTTACAACTGTTTTTAGAGGCAGAGCGGTACAGAAATGTCAAGTTTGTCGTTTTTAAAGTAGCTTCAATCCTAATTCTGACTTGGATGCTTTGCTATTGGGTTAAACACTGGAATAGATTTGTTTTTGGAAAACAACAGATGAATCCTCAAACCATTTGATTCTACCTTCAAATTCAACATTCAAATTTGCACTTTGATCCTTGCCAACAACAACAAAAATTAACTGAGCAAATACTTTATGCTCTACAATCTCTTAGTTACTGCTTCCTGTTAGGCAAGAGCTATGACTTGGCATTTTTTCCCCTTCAAATGCAATCCAATTCTTGTATGTGGTTTTTATTGGTTATTTTAAAGTCCTAAAGTTAGAAAGAAGAAAAACTCAAGGCCCCTGTTCAGTAAAGTTATGTATGGGCAGCGTACGTGTTGATAAATAATCCCACCGACTTTGACAAGACTACTCACAAGAGTAAACTTGAACAGAGGCATAGAAGTTTGCAAGATGAAGCCTTCTATACACTGGTGGGAAGATTGGGGAGGCTGGTCCTCACTTACAGTAGGAAGTCATTATATCAGTAATTCATATTCAACATTCATGTGTCCTTTTTTGATATTTTTCTTTAAATAAAAAAAATATTGAATTACACTCAAATTTTAACAAACTGTGAAATAGTATCAGAATTGTTCCTAAGCATTAACTGAGCTTCTCCAGAACCCTCTGGGGTAGGAAAGGGGTGGCGTACCCCTTTCCAGAGGGGGAAGCACAGGCAGATGGGCTAAGGGACATGCCTACAGTCAGAGAGTTCTGGACTAGAACAGGGAACTCCTGATATCAGTCTTGTGCTCCAACCACTAGGCTATGCATCATTAAGATTATTTACTCCCTTTAAAAGAGAGTCTCAAAAAGTGCTAATAGTTTGCAGCCTTGTGTTAATAAGCTCATCTTGACACACTGATCTGAATAATACTGATCTGAAACATTCTGAAGTTTTATACATAATGTCCAAAGATGGTCTGTCTGCCAATATTAAATATGCCTGCCTAGTGGTTATTAAAAACCACCATATAAAATGGCCATAACCAATACTTTGGCCCAAATCATACTAGCCCATTTATTTAAAAATAAATACCACTCCAGGATCAATATCAGCAGTCAGTGTTAACTGAAGAGCCACATCAGCAAAGATACTGCCAGGTGGTCTCTGGCAACCACTCATGCTTAAAGGAGAAAAAACTATGTACTGCAGAAAAAATCCCCCCTCTAAAATGATAATTCTTTTCCATTTACTCGACCTGCATTTTGAACACTTGGCCATTTATTTGCAATTATCACAGAAACACTTGTATTATTAAAACTGCAGAAACACAGGACGTTGTCTGATTCTTATGCTCACGGAGGTCAGCAGGCTACATGATTTCAATACAAAGCCTGGTTCTAGAGTGGTCCCCACAATTCTATGCGAGCCGGGGGCGAGCCGGGCCCATCTTTGCGCACGCGGGCTGTGG